TAAGTAAATGTATAAATATGTTACTTATGTTATTAATGATTTAAGATATCTGCAAAAAATTGAAGAGATATTCATAACATTTGGGAGTTTAATGCATTGTATTCATTTTATTTTTATATACTTTTATAAGTAATACTTTAAGACCCCCTGAAGAATCAGGAATTACATATCTACTATGTGTAAAATTATTGGTACCTTCAAATTACTCGATTTTATGGTAGTAGAATAAAAATTCCTTGGGATATGGTGTCGCCTGTTTTAATTTTAAAAATAATAACACTGTTTCCCTAATTATTTTAGGGATTAAATTGAAAACAAGTATTTAAAGAAATCTTATTTTAGGAGTTAAATACTACATGCAATTTTTGTGTTTTAGCTAGAAGAACCACACCTCTTTTGGAATATATTAAAAATAGAAAATTAGAAAAGCAGGTAGGTCTGGCCTTTTACCTGGTAAATACCTTTCCTGCTCTGCCATTTCCATCCAGGCAATTTATACATGTATTCTTCTGTATCTTTAGAGAATTCGAGAGGAGAAGCGAGAAGAGCGGAGAAGGAGGGAGTTAGAGAAGAAACGTTTGCGGGAAGAGGAGAAAAGAAAAAGAAGAGAAGAAGAAAGGTATAAAAGAAAAGAGGAAGATAAACAGAAGAAAACTACTGAGAAAGAGATAAGAATTAAGGTAATTTTGAGAAGACATTTATTTTTTCCAAAACTAGTTCAACAATACTACTTAGTATTTTTGCTCTTTAAAATTTTAAAAACATTTTCAATTAATCTAATCCTTTTTCCTATAGTTCTTTTTTTCTCCTTTTTTGTTTTTCTTTGAGACAGAGTCTCTGTCGCATTAGGTAAAGTGCTATGGGGTCATCATTGCTCAGAAGAACATCAAGCTCCTGGGTTCAAGTGATCCTCCTGCCTTAGACTCCTGAGTAGCTGGGACTATAGGCGTCCACCACAACACCAGTTAGTTCTTCTATTTTTAGTAGAGATGGGGGTTTCACTTTGCTCAGGCTGGTCTTAAGCTCCTGAGCTCAAGTGATCTACTTGCCTTGGCCTCCCAGAGTGCTGGGATCACAGGCAAGAGCCAGTGCTCCACAGTACTAGTTTTCAGATGTATTCCCTGAGCCTTAGGAGTTCCTGGGACATAACTCCTGTTGGTAGGGCTGAGGTGGATGGGGCAAAAGGATGCAGGATGCAGAGGCAGGGACCTGGCATAGATTGTTCTTGGTGGGCTTCTGCTTACGTTTTCCTGACTAAACAACTACTGGCTCAGCCTTTCTATATGAAGGATGACTTGTAGAACTGGGTTTCATCATTTATTTTATGGTGGCAGGAATGGGTTTCTATGTCTCTCGTCTGCTTGTTCCTGTGACTGATGCAATCATGTACAGGGGGGTGTGGATCACAGAGATAATTTTGCTTGTGTAAAATGCAGTGGCTAGAGTTGGGACCAGCCCTTACATTCTCAGTACTCTGCACAAATGATCTAAATAAACCTAGATTTCAACATAATGTACATCTTATGTTACTCCACAAAGGATTTAAGGTACCTTATAGCGATTTAATAATATTACATAATATAAGGATAAACTAAAATGTGAGGACTTGGAGAAAGGAGATTAGGTGAGGAAAGGGTGGGAAAGAGATCATTGAACTCTATAGCTTTCTTTCAGATGTTCTTGGCAAACAAACACGGAAAAGTTGGCCAGAAACATGGTAGTTCCTTAAGGAAAATAAAACTTTCCCTAGGACTTTGCTCTAAAATAATTTTCCTCATGGATTCACTAGCAGTGGAGAGAACTTTTTTTAAAATAACACCCCTACAAAAACACATAACCGTTTATATCAGTTAGGATCGGCTAGAATATGCTATAGTAACAGGTAGTCTCCAAATCTTGTTGGTTTAGTCTAACCAAACTTCATTTTTGTTAATGTTGTGTGTCTGTGTTTCAGAGCATGCATTGCTCAGGGCATTCATTGGTGACCTGAGCTGACAGAGGCTCTGTCTTGGCATTTTCTCCCCAATCTTTATGACAGTGAAGAAGGGCTGTGTAGCTGCCAGGTTGCACACCAGTTCTTAGTGCTTCCATGTGGAGTGAGGTGTTAATTTCTGTTCACATTTCATTGGCTAAAACAGGTTGTGGCCACACTTAATTTCATTGGGTAGGGGTGTGCTCTGAAGAAGGAGAACCTGAAATATCTGATGAACAGCATAATGACTAATGTAATTTCTGAAGACTGTTTCTTGAAATGTCTCTTTTTAAAGTTTAAAGACATTCTTGGGCAGCGCCTGTGGCTCAGTGAGTAGAGTGCTGGCCCCATGTAACAAGGGTGGCAGGTTCGAATCCAGCCTCAGCCAAAACTGCAACAAAAAAATAGCCAGGCGTTGTGGTGGGCTCCTGTAGTCCCAGCTACGTGGGAGGCTGAGGCAAGAGAATTGCCTAAGCCCAAGAGCTGGAGGTTGCTATGAGCTGTGACACCACAGCACTCTACCGAGGGGGACAAATTGAGACTCTGTCTCTAAAATAAATAAGTAAATAAAAATAAATAAAGTTTAAGGGTATTCTTAGCTCATTAAAAGTATGGGACAGGAGCTGACTCATTGCTTGAGCACATTTGCTTTACAGATTACAAGTATGTGTGCAAGATGAGGAGGTAAACCTTTTATCCCAAAAGTCATAAAAGTAGTTTCTTTTAAGTTGCTTTTGATAAGAATTGGCTACAGATCTATATAGTTTAAAACTTGTATTCTCTGGTAACATTGATGAAATTGAGGAGCCAACCACAACTATTGGGTGAAGATGACATCCTTCATCTGTGAGCCCAGGTTTTCCCCCCAGAAGTAGCTCTGAGAACAGTGTTTGCTGTGTCCCTGTGTGTTATGGGCACAAACAGAACTCTTCATTACACATTTGTGGCAAATATATTTCCTATCACGTAGTCATAAAAGTATAAAATTAATGGCCTGTGGAAGACTAATAGAAGAAAACTGTAATATTGTAGGGCAGGTCTTTGTAGAAATTCAGCTTTGTTGTGTCATGACGAGAGACAAACCACATTTGCATTTTGTTGACTTTTTTTTTTATTTTGAGACAGAGTCTCATTGTGTCGACCTTGGTAGAGTGCTGTGGCATCACATTTCACAGCAAGCCCAAACTCCTGGGCTTAAGCGATTCTCTTGCCTCAGCCTCCCAGGTAGCTGGGAACTCTAGGTGCCCGCTACAATGCCCAGCTATTTTTTCTTTTTGGCAGTTGTTTAGCTGACCCAGGCTGGATTTGAACCCGCCACCCATGGTGTATGTGGCTGACACCGCAACCACTGCGCTACAGGCGCCAAGCCATATTGTTAACTTTTATAGTCACAGGAGTGCCAGTATTGTCTGACCTTCTAATTTACTTTTTAAACAAGGAATAATACATAATTCAGTGCCTAATGCTTTGCATCCCCAGAATCACTTTTGTCAACAGCTTTTTAAACTGAGAATTTTTCAGAAAGAACCACTGAAACTTGCCTATGATTTTTTAGTAGGATTTAAAATATTTAGAATATAGCATTATATTTTTATATTTTCACATATACAGTTAGAATCCAAAATAAGCCAAAGAAATAAAACAAATTTAAGTCAGTAAAAGTTAAGTTTGGGATCCTTTATATAGAATAAAGAAATCAGAACATATAGCAAGAGAAGGGTTGCCCTTGTCCAAATCTGATGAAACAAACTCTTTTTTTTTTTTTTTT